GCACCATCGCAATAGAAGGGGATTCTTCAAAATTCGACCTTTTTGCTGAAAACCACTACTTCTCTCTCTCAGCTTTACTTAGTTGGTACTCCTCGTTTTCGTTTCGCTCCTACACCTGCATCATTTGTATAGATGTTTTTATTCATCACAATAATTGCTGTTTAACGCCACAGTCCGATTAGTTTTGAAGGTATCACAAATGCTGGGTTACGGGCAAAAGATGATCGTGACCCCAGATGGGACACGATCATCACGTTGAACGTGTGAATGCTGAAGCCCAAAAGCCTCCGAGCTGAAAGAGGGGAAGAGCGGCCTTGGTGGCGTAACGGATAGCGCACTCCTGCGAGAAGCGTGAGATGTAGATTTGGGTCTCACCCGCAGTCAAGTCTTTTGCCCATGAGTCAGCATTCTTCTATGTTTTGTGTTCAGAACGGTCGTATGTCCTTTTGTCGATGTGATCGATTGTGACACCTATGAAATTCGTCCTCAAGATGAAGGAGCACGAGGTGAGCCGCTTATAGCTACTTCCGTTTGTTAAGTGTCACTCATTCATCTCATGATTAGTCCACTCGAGGGGTGAGTGGCACGGTGGTTGTTGGTATGTGTCATTTGAAAGCAGCCTCGCCTCGATTCTCGCTTTCCAAGCGCTCATTCCATTTGCACCACTTTCACTCCATGTCCAGGAAGGTGGGGAGGGAGTGGCTGCGTCTCACGCGAACATGGCGTGGGAGCGTTCTTCGTGACGTGCATGTCATTCTGCCTTGTGCTAGTCAGAGACATGATTACGGTTGTCCATGAACGGCAACGTTTCGCTAGAAGTGGAGCCGCCGCCACGTTCGAACAGATTAGGAAGCCACGCCTTCTCCATTTCCTGGATATGGAGTGTAATATGTGCTACCACTTCTGGGAATTCTGTTGACGTTGTACATTCTTATCACGTTTTTATAGGTTCGTTTGATTGGGCATTCAACTACAAGCGATTACCGTTGACCAAGAAAGATCGTGAGAATCCGACGAAACCATTTCCGAGTCCTGTGATGGCTGGTGGTTATTTTGCCATTTCGACAAAATGGTTCTGGGAACTTGGTGGTTATGACGATGGCTTGGATATTTGGGGTGGCGAGCAGTATGAACTAAGTTTCAAGGTAAGATCCTATGCAAATGGCTGTCCTAGTGATGTGACCCTTATGATCTAGTGACTTTGAAGGTGTGGCAGTGTCATGGTCGTATGGTTGATGCGCCCTGCTCTCGTGTAGGGCATATCTATCGTTGCAAATATATGCCATTCAAGAATGCTGGAGTGGGCGACTTCATCAGTAGAAATTACAGAAGGGTTGCTTGAACGTCTTGTTATATTCAATCCTCAGAAATTGGCCTCCTTTCGTGTTGCGACACCCCCCCCCCCTCCTTCCCATCTCCCGTCCTACTCATAATGTTCCTAGATTATTCCAACTTCCAACCACTCCGGAGTTTTTTTTTATGGAAACTTTTTCTAGAAAAAAAAAGAAACTAGAAAACTGTCGTCGAACGGGGGGGGGAGGGGGGTAAGGTAGACAGAAAGGCCAAACAACCCGAGATTATTTTTTCGCAAATGTAAGTACGCCCCCTCCCCTTCTCTTCAGCACTCAGCACTAAATACGACCTCCCTCGCTAGGTGCAACGTGCCTTGCGCATGGTCCCCTAAACTCCAATATCACTCATGGTCCTGTATTCCAAGGGATTTTCAATAGCGTTTTTCAATATTGCTGTTCTAATCAGTGAGAGTTTTTTCAGGTTTGGATGGATGAGTACAAGCACAATTTGTATAAACATCGCGCAGGTGTTGGAACAGCGGACACAGGTATCCCGAACGGTTTTTTTAATCTCGGATTAATTCCCTTGCATAACTTTTTAGGTGATATTTCTCGACAAAAAGCTGTAAGGGAGCGACTCAAGTGTAAATCGTTCGATTGGTTCATGAAAGAAGTTGCCTTTGATCAGGACAAATATTATCCTGCCATCGAGCCAAAGCCATCAGCTAGCGGTCAGTTTTTTGCTTATATAGAAATAACGGTTTTTTTGGGCACCGGCGAGTTTTTACAGAGCAGAATATGGTCCGCGGATTTCCACTACCACTCTTGGCGCCTACCGAAGCATATTTGCCCTTTCGTCAAGTTCATACATTGCGACTCAAGCGATTCTGTCACGCTACTCAACTTACCGCGCTATATCGCTAATTGTTGCATCTACACACCTGCCAGTTCTAATTCAGTTTTATGACTGCAGTTGAATTATTTGCGACCGTCCAACGACTAGCGGCGGAGCGCGGAGTAGCAGTACTAGATCGAATGGCTCGCGAAGTATGAGGCAGCCTTAGCCTGGTACGCTTCTGATCCGATTCACCATTTTTAGGAGAGCTGCGAAACAAGGGAGCAGGGCTGTGTGTGGACACACAATTCAAGCAGGCTCATCAACGGTTTGGATTGCGAAAATGTATCAGCGATGACCCAGATGGTGCTGGGGAGCAGGTACTTGTTCTTCTATGCTTGAATGTACTGAACTGTGTGATTGCTCTCCGGCCATGACTCTCTTTTGTAGAATCTTCGACTGACCCGTTGGCACGATATTCGTCCACTGGGGCGCTCGGTATGCTTTGACACATCCTCGTCAGAGGACAGAGCGCCTGTTGTACTTTTTGATTGGTTGGTAACCATTATAGAGTTTTTTTATGAAGAGGGATAGCAAAACATGCTGTGTTTTCAGTCATAGTATGAAAGGAAACCAACTCTTCAAATATAACATTGAAACGGGAGCGATTTATCATCCGGTGAGTGATCCTTATTTAAATTTCTTCCAGTTGCAGTTAAAGTTACTTGCAGTTGAACTGACAATCATGGCACTAATACCGTGTTGTTTCAGATATCAGCTCAGTGTCTATCTGCAGAAATAGATGGGTCAGGTTATGTGTTCATGCAAAAGTGTGATCCTAATTCCCCGACTCAAAGATGGTCCTGGCAGGTTAGCTAAATCTTACGTGTTTGATCGTCGACGCGTTCATACTTTGCGATCCGAACGCCTGGATAGCGCGGTTGGATGGCGGAGTATAAATGCTCTCCTCACTCACTGTCAAAAGGCAGTAGTCACAATAACTTAAAGGCAGTGGGCACGATTGTAAGGGGAAGGGGGGTGGGCGGTTGTCAGCAGTGTCATTCGGGGATGAGCTGAGTGAGTGTATCCAAACACCCTTTTGTAGCTTTTCCAACTATGACACTGGCGACAAGCCCTGCCTCCAGTTATGGTGCCCACTGCGTTTAGAAAGATGGGTGTCCTAGGTTGCATCCCCTAGAATCACGACCCGCCTCGACGATTGGTAAAATGGGTCCTTCATCACCCTTTTGCCCCTCCTCTTCTGTACACAACCAGCCTTAGTTCGAAGGCATCACCCTAGTCTTTAGCTTTCACTATAACCGATTTCGCTGCAGACGCTGGGCGTGTAAGAGGGCTGGTTAATAAATGGCAGCGGTTGGTTTTCACCAATTGTTGTGTCACCTACTCTTCGCATGGTGGCAAGGGACGAACGAGGGGCTACACCGGTCACGCCAAACCCAGTCCTTCGCCCGTAACATGCCCTAGCGTCTGCAGCGAAACTGTACATTTTCACCTCCAATTACTTTTCTGAACTTCTGAAGGCTTGAAAGGGCTGCTATCGCGTGCTCTGCCCTACCCCTCCTCAACCACACCATTGCACCAATGCCGCTTCTTCAACCCCGCCTTCGACCCTCATTTACACAATGGTTGGGCATTCGGGGTAAGACGGCAAACTAGAGTTTGAAAAATTTTGTTTTATTGTGTGCGTACCCCTTTTTGCCAGCATAATCACAAGTATAACATGATAAAAGGTACTGGGTGTTCCTCTCTCACTGGTCTCTTCTTCTAGACGTGTGAAAGGGAAGATGGTTCTTTGTCTCCACTCACATCATCAGCGCGAAGTGTGCCATAAATCAGCAGATGAATGTTATTATCGAATAGCCTTAGCTGGCACCAGTTCATACTGGGGGAGGGGTAGTAGGAAGGGCGATCTCGAGTCAGGGCACGCCATCGCGTTGTGATCATTTTCTGAAAATTACGACCCCTCCTAATTCCATACTAAAATACGACCCC